AGGTTTTCTTGCCACTGCTCTTGTCTCTCTTCTTGTTTCTTTTCTTTCTCCTCCAACCATTGCTGTAGTCTCTTTTCTTGTCTGTTTTCTTTCTCCTGTAATCTCTCTTGTTTATTTTGCTGTTCAAGCTGCCACTGTTGCAGGTTTTCTTGCCACTGCTCTTGTCTCTCTTCTTGTTTCTTTTCTCTTTCTTCTTGTTTCTTTTATTTTTCCTCCAACAACTGTTGTAATCTCTCTTCTTGTTTATTTTGTTGTTAGAGCTGTCACAGTTGCAGGTTTTCTTGCAACTGCTGTTGTCTCTCTTCTTGTTTATTTTCTCGTTCTTCTTGTTTCTTTTGCTGTTCTTGTATTGCTGCCATCAAATCTACTAAGTTGTAGTTTGATTTGCCACCTCTCGTTTCTTAGAAATAAAATTTTCTGTGTTTGAAAACATTTAACATAAACAAATGCAATTAGACGTATTCATTTAACCCTTGTCATTAAAACTTAAAAGACCTCACTCGCATATCTTGCCAATTTATATGACTATAGAAATAAACATATTGGTTTCCATTGTTATATTTTATTTTTATTTCACAAACGTAATAACAGAAACTTTAACAACAGGGATAGTATCATTTAACCCTCCCCCCCATATTTTATTGACTCCTTAACAAAATAATCCTCGTCACACCAAACATGCTTGCCCTTTCAGCCGTGGAGCATCATCATGTAACAGTCAATCCAACTATTCATTGGTAAAAAAAGTACCCCAAAAGTTTGCGGTGGATGGAGATTGCCTTCTAGTCTTCCACTGCTAAATTAGGGACGGATAGCTCCGATAGCCCTCGTGTAGCTTTGCGCGAAATTTCAAACCTTGACAAAATTAGATCCAAGGCATAAAATGGTGAGTTTGATGTACAAAATCTTTATACCCAAATTCCAAGAGAAGAAGTCCAAACTTGTTATTGAACTATTTATGAAAGATCCACAACGCAAAATTACCAATCTTCATCGAGCCTTTTAACCTTGTTTGACTTCACCACGAAGTTATCAAATTCAACGAAATCACTCATTATTGTCAAATTGTCGGCGTTTGTATTGGCGGAACACTACCAGATGCACCAGCAAACACCTTTTTAATTCAACTGATAAAACAGGCTTTAAATACAACCATATATAAACCCTCACATTGGTTAAGATATGACATCGATGTTTTCAGCGGCTTCAACTCTGACAAAGAAAAATAAAACTTCCCAAACCATATCAACGATATACATTTTAACACTATTTTTACAATTAAAAAAATAAAGAAAATTTCTTCCTAGCCTTTTTTAACGTCCACATCATAAGAATAAATTCAGGATTTAAATAAAGAGACAACAAACGCAGAACAATACCTTAATTGAAAATCTGCATACGCCATATAATAGAATCTAGGAGTTTGTGGTGTATTATGAAAAAAAAAAACATTAAATATATACTCTGAAAATAACTTAGACTATGGACTATAATATAGAATTTCTGAAATATTCATTCAAAAAACAACTATCCGTAAGAAGTTCTAAAAATTAATCACCATATTAAAAAAAAACATCAAACAAACAAAATAATACAAATTTTAAAGATGAAAACAACCTCAACTTGTATTATGGAAACGACTCGTGAGAAAACACATTAACATAAGTAACCTAATCATACAAAAATCAAGAGCCTCATTACTAACAATTACTCCACTGAAAATAAAAACAATGGAGTCATCTACAAAATCTAATGCAACTCCTGTAAACACTTTTATATCGGGGAATCCAAAAGATAAATCAGGCTTAAAGGTCTATTTACTTGATGTTAAATACAAAGCTACACAATAGACATCTATGCTGTGTTCACCATGGGTATCGAAACCCGGCTTTTACTGTTATGAGCCTTCAGACTTACCTCTCATCTCTAGGGGACAGACTTAAAGAATGATGATGATGACAAAACCTTGCCGCAACCTTGTACATTTGCTGTTATGTTCAACTTATATTAAAGTTTTTCTTCATTACCCATTCAAGCCGTCTCCAGCCATTATTAGACTTAAAGAAGGTTTTAAAGACCCTCATACATTTTTTGAACATCTCGAAGAAACCGAACATATTATCACAGAAAACAATGACGAAACTAATGAAGCCATCAGAGTCAACGCTGCAATAATATTCAAGACCTCCCCCTATCTATATTAGTATTTTATCCACATAATTTTACTAAAAGGTTATTTCATTGCCACCTACAAACTTTGTCATCATCTTAATGAGTCCTTAACGTCCTCTGAAATCAAAACTACATTATTGAATGTAACTGTTACCTGATAATGACCCGATGCTACGGGGTACAAAGTTGTTTTCATTAAAATAAGAAATTCCTTACTGTAAAAGATGATGTTATTGTAATTTTGAATCAATAAATTAGTAGGTTTCTCGCCAAACATGTATTTTTATTTATTTGACATGATTTATACAATGCATAGCGACATCATGCGGAAGTAAATAGAAACTTTCCCTTCTAACACGTTAAGTTTCTCCCTTTTTTACTCTATAGAAGTAGTAGGTTGAGTGGAACATTTTTCGGGTTAGGAATTAATTATTTCTTGCAACAATTTAGTTTATAATTTATTCATATATATAAGTTTATTAGCATGTTTTTTTATTTATTTGTATAATATTACTAAATCAACAGTAATTATAATAATAAATTACATCTTCCCTTTTAATTTAAAATAAAGCATTAGGCTTAAGATATTGAATTGTAGGCCTAAGTGTGAAACACGTTTTTTTAAAGATTAAACTTAGGCTTAACATTTTGATGGTGTGAGTAACACTTGTTCTAGATTATTTTAAGTAAAATTAAGTTGAATGTAGGTAACCATCTGTGTTTTACCACTTTTACTTAACTAGTCTAACCCTAAGTTGTAATACTGTTGATACAAAATTTTTAAAATTGTAAGAACCCACATCTTCGTACACTACTCATTAGTGACATGGGAATTAAATAATATATTTTAATAAAAATAAAATAATTAATTTTTTTTTAGATTGTCTATTTTTATGCTTTTATAAGTAGTAGTAGTAGTTATGGTCGTCTTTGTAAAAATTTAACATTAAGGTTTTAAAGATTATACTTGTATAATCTTTAACCGTGAAACTTGGAAAAATTTCTCTACCAAAAACTTATAAAAATATTTTTGTCTCTAATGTGGAAATGTAATGGTAAGAAATGCTAACAGTATGACATGTATTCCATATAACCAACTAACTTCCAAGTATAATTATTAAGTTTTTAATAACCAATTACCAACTGATTTTTTCCTTACATTTTAGCTTTTAACCTGCTACTGTCTTCTATTCAGGGAAGTCCTGAGAACTAATATTTTTGTGGTTATACTTATAGTAGGGGATTTCGGTGATTTTTTAAATAATGAAAATAACAAAAAACATTAAAAAAAATTGGATTCCACAGACACAAATTAGTAGACTTATGCTGCAAGTTCAATTCTTTAGTTCATAATTAATTAAAAATTGTACATGGCAATTTACCTTTTATTCCACACTACCCTTCACTGGAAAAATGTTAAGAGATTTATCGTTTTACCTGGTGACCTGATACTGCGTGACACCTGTGTCAAGGCAAGATAAAATGTAGTACCAAGAAAATCTATCAGTGTCAAACTTGAACATGTAGATGCATATCATATGGATAAATGAAATGAACATTTTCAACAACCAAATGCTAAAAATGGTGTCTGAGCTTACCTATGTATTTATGAAAGTAAAGGAAAGATTTTGTAATGACATTGGTTGAAAACTTGAAATACCATGATTGACAGAAGCATACGAGTAGTATACTCCACCTGTTCTACATTGTCATGATGTAATTGATAAATCATATCATTAAGTTCAAGATATTAGTTATCCCAAGATATAATCATAATACAAAAGCTAAGGAAACAAATGTTTGTCTATGAATTATTAGTTAAATTAGTAATAAGTGTTGATAAACTACAATATTATTTAAGGAATGTTAGTAGCAAAGATGGCCTATTCATAGAATAATTATTGGTAAAAATCAGATTAAGAACTTCTAATATATAGAAAAGCCAGTACGTTTCGATAACATTACATTCCAACATTTTGTCTGCTATTCAATATTGTTTTCATTATGTGAAATGGACATGTTTCAATTTTAGGGTATTATATTGATGATAATTATATTAATTCTTAAAGCACATGTTAAAAACTATTTTCAAGACTGTTGTCCTTGCTTCACTAAAGTTGTTTACATAATTATTCACAAATACACATGGAATGTGTTAAGATTAGTCAGTTTTGCGAGGTACTTCATTTCCATTTAATACAGATATTGATTGAATAACTCTCTAAGTTAGAGCTGTGATTTCTACTTATTGAATGTGTATATATATAAATCACAGTCTTATTTATTGTACAAATGAGACTGCCATTGTTCATACCACTTTTATCATAGATAGTTGCAGCACACATTCCTTCACTGTAGAGCAAACTGTTGTCAGGACAACATAGTCTGCTTAAGACCAAAGATATGACGTAAAGCAACATGTTGTCAGGGTAACATATAGGCTGTTTACAATTCCCATTCATCATTTTTTGACATGCTGTCAGGTCGACTTGGGCAGACATATCTATGTATTGGCTTATGCTTTATGTAGTTCTGAACATTAAGTTTGTTGTATACCCTTGTTTATAATGATTCAATGGCTAAATAGAATTTTAAAATGGTTTTAGAATTTGTTATGTGTTTTCAACTTGTAAATGCTTCTGGATCCAATGAAACCAGCCAGAATGAGCATGAAGAGAGCTAATGTTTGGTGTATCACTGGTCCTTATTGGTCAAGCCAATTTGAACCAACATGCTGGTTTTAGTTTTAATATTTACTCACTGGTTGCTGACAAATGATGGATGTTGGCTTTAGCCATAATCGGAATAGTTTTTAAAGCCGATTACAAACTAATGGGAGTATGGTTGCCTTGAAATAAATCATGCCAATTCAGTGTGTATTTGTAATGTAGATATTTTCCATTTGTTTGTTGGTATACAATCATTCTTATTTTATCTATGTGAGCTTTATACATATTCACAACTGAGATTATGCAGTTGCTTGCTTCCAAGGCCAGGAACTATAATTTTCTGGGACTCCCTACTTATAGTAACCAGACTGATCTTGGGGTCCTCTTGATTCTTGAGGTCAGATCTCTGGGAACTTTGCTCTCCAAAATGCGATGTCTGCATAGAAACTGAGGCAAAGGGGCAAACAAATAGTGCGATGAAGGGGAAATTTCATTCACTCTGTACACTTGCCAGGTGTTTAGACTCTTATATGTAAGAACTATTTGTCTGTTTGTGATGACCTTTTGTTGTTCCAAACCTGCAAATATGTTGAAGAGTTGTTGTGTATTCAATTGCACCAATAACAAATCCAAAAGACACGAACTTTCCTTCAATTTGATACCCAGTCAAGCTACTGAAAAGGAGTGAAGCCAAGGCCAGCCAGGTCTACTAACAAGAAGAAAGATACTCCAACAAATGAGCCTTAACAGGGCCACGCAGGGATCTATAAATCCAAGTACCAAGATTTGAACAAAAGGAGAGAAGAGTGTTGTGGCTGAAAGCTATCAACCATGGAACACAGCAAGCAAGAGTAAAACTGTGAGAGCCAAAGTCTCAGTATAATTATCTGTGTTCAGCTCATTTTATATCATGTAAATGTTGTCTTTCAATTTTTTTAACACGAGGTAATTGTATATGTCCAGGTACTTCACACTGGGCCATTCTGGGTTGTTGATCCACGAGTCCTCAGAGTGCTGGTAAGGACAAGAATCAAGCCTGATTTAATTTTACTTGATATCTTGCTAATGCCTCATCCAACAACTTCACATATTGATAAGACATTGCAGTTGATAAATTTGACTTTCAAACGATAATTGAAGAATTTGCATAGCAGTAACACATGTATACGGTAGACTTGTATAAATTGCGTACACGTAACTGTACTTGCTTCGCTATTGTTTTTCTCTTTGTCAAGATGGCAATCTCATTACCAGCCAAAACCACATGACTGTGACATCAAGTTGACATCATGAATGAAGAGTCTGGTGTACTATCCACTCTTCTGGGCCTCCCCCATTGGCACTGATTTATTTCGGTGCTTTTAAGAAGGATATCTAGGCTTTGTTGATATGTATACTAGATCAGCTGATTGTAGAAGTCTTGTTTTATTAATTTGTACTTGTGTTTGATTCATGTTCCATTATTATTACTCCAATTTATTGTATGACCTTGTTCTCTGGCATGATAGGCTTTTTTGCAGAAGTTGAAAAGTTAGTGGAATTTCCTGATCAGTAGACTCATTAATAGATTATACTCATGATCGAGTTTGAGTTAATCGAAAATAATAATGAAAAATTATAACAGTAATAAATTGATTAAAGGATAGTTGGAACAGATAGAAATACTAATTTTGATAACATTAATTGATTTAATCTTAAATTATGCAAGACTAATTGATATAATCGCTGCTCATAGGTAATTTAATTGCCCAGCATTGTTGCAGGTAGTTTTGTGTGTATATTATGCTTTTGTTGGTCTTTTTTTTTGTTTCTCCACTGATTTTGAGTTTTTATAAGGAATGTTTTTAAGTGATGGTTTTTCTATCCATTAGGATGTTTGGTTGTTTTTTCATGTGATATATGACACAATAATAAATGTTTCAGCTATCTAACTGTGACCATCATTGAAATTATTATAATAGTATGTCAAGTCTGATGGTAGCTGTTGTTGGACAGTTGAAATGTCATCCTAATCGTTTGATTTAAGTTAATTAACATAAGTTAGCTTACCCATTTTTATATAATACACATTAAGGTGATCAAAAATTAGAGAATGTAACCGATGAAAGATAAAGTAATCATAATTACATGCAATTTAAAATGAGCACACAACCAAAAGGGAATAAAAACTACACAAAATAGAATATTCTAGGGTACATTGTTTTATTTTTGTGTTTTAATGTATTTGTTTTAGCTCTTTGAAATGTATTTAAAAACTATTGGGAATTTTTATTACGTACCATTAAAATATTTTTTTAGATGTGTTATAATAGTGAAATGTAAAAAAATACTCTATTTAAATGTATACTTTTTTTTTTCACTTCACAGCCATAATGTTGATTCCTAAAAAGAACCGTGTTGCGATTTATGAATATCTCTTCAAAGAAGGTGTCTTGGTAGCAAAAAAAGACTTTCATGCTCCCAAACATCCAGAGCTTGAAACTGTTCCAAATCTTCAAGTCATCAAAGCTCTTCAGTCACTAAAGTCCCGTGGATATGTTAAGGAGCAGTTTGCATGGCAACATTATTACTGGTATCTTACTAATGAAGGAATTCAGTATCTTCGAGATTTCCTCCACTTGCCACCAGAAATTGTACCCTCTACTCTTAAACGCCAGCCACGACCAGAAACAGCAAGACAGAGGCCCAAAGGTAGAATTTCTATAATCTGTTACACTGTAATCTTTTCAAATTTAATGTTTATTTTGGATTTAAAGTGGTGTTTTTAGGAGAGAGGTATTTTAAGTTTCAAGCCTTCTCAACAAGGATGCCTGTGACACCTTTTTCAAAAATAAAAGAGTATTAATTTTGTTAAGATTTACCTATTTTGATGAAGCTCATCTTAAGAATTCTGGTATCAATAAGATCTTTTTTGGAAGTATGTTACAACAGAAATTAGTTGAAAAGCTATTGTATTCTTCTTGTGGAAACCTGTATTGCTAGTCAAAAGCAAAGTATTTAAAAAATCTTTCAATTTTTATTATGATTATTGTTTTATTCAATACACCTAGAGTTTAGAATATAGCATAACCACAGCACATTATATGAACCACAAACTCCAATTGTTAGTGATTGGTATATTTTTGTAATGTAAACTCTTAACAGAGTACATATTTCTATACGTTTGATGCAATTTTGATTTCGTCCCAAATACAAAAAAGATATTGTATAGATATTGGAATTTTTATTGTAGTTGAACATTGTGTGATTTTTAGTTCAGTTAATCAGTTTTGCTTTAAAATATCATAAATTAACATCATTCCATTATTTCAAAATCAGAATACGTGAATTGTTAGCTCCTGTTATGACCTTTTACCTATTATGTATATAGGATAATTCCTAGTATTATTTTTATTGATCAATTTTGAAATAAGAAGACTTGTTTAAAAGGTGAATTGTATTTTTATTAAATGTTACTCTTAACCTTCCAGGTCCAGCTGAACAAACCCCTCGTCCACAGGCTGATAGAGAAAGTTATCGCCGGGGTCCTGGTAAATACTTGTTTGCTATTAGTAGTGTGTTTCCGTTTTTTAAATTTCATGTAAATGTAATAGATTATATGGAATGACGATAAGATTTAAGATAAAAGTATCTACTTAACTAATATATCAATTTAATTTGAATAGAACATTCCTAAAGAACTGTGGACAGAGAGAAAAATGTTGGGTAAAAAAACATTTTTACCAGAAGTCTTACTCATTTCATGTTGTTTATTATGTCTTTAACTCTTTCTGGATTGAGGAGTGTCACAGCTACCCATTGATATTTTTCCTTCTCACAGTGGAAATACGTAACCTACTTGCATGAAACCTAGGATAAACAACATTAAAACACTTCATTGTGGAATTTATTTATTTTTTAAATTGAATTTACACTTTATCTAGTAAATTTGATAAATTTTCATTAACACATTTTTTTGAAACATTATCTTTAGTTGTAATAGTTGCCAATTTTGGATATAAATCTTTAAAAAAAAGTATCTCAAATTGACAGATTTATTATTGACCTAAGACCCTACTTTTCATAGTGGTGTCATATCAAGCTAGGAAACTAATTTTGTAAACAACGTTTTTGGTTGAATCAATATATATAATAAATATACATTGTTTTCAATACATCTTAAGTTTTTATTTTATTTATGTGCATTTTTTGAATACAATAACTTAAGAATGATATTCAATAAGTAAAAAATTTGAATCATCGGTTTTCTAAATTTAATAAGACTTACATGATGTCATGTCATAGAGTAAAGAAAATGCAATAACTTCCAAAAATATGTAAAATGGTACTTACTTTACAGTTGTTTTTATTATAGACTCTAAACAAATTTTGTTTATGTTTGAAAAGTTTCAAAATCAGTCTCAACATATGAAGATCTGAGGTAAAAACTAGTTGCATATGTAAAATCTGGCTATATAATTTTAAGGTAATAAAGAGCTCTACTTTCTACAGAGAGGGACAAAAGTGACTATACATTTGTGTCAATTAGAACATAAGTTTAGTTTTTAACTGTTTCTCTGAAACAACCAATAATGAAATGGGTTTCAGTTGTCCTGGTAATAAGTTCAATAGTACCAACCATAAATTATCAACTGTATAATATCTTTTGTCTCACCTTGTATGTGGAACTTCTTTTTGACTAACTTGTTGGTTTGTGAAACTGCCCAAATGACTTTTACCTAACTTTGTAGTGTGTGTGTGTGTGTGTCATGTAACTCTTCACTTATATCTTTTGACCACCATTTTACCTTTTATATACAGTCCTGGTTATTTTCAAGTACCCTATACTGATAAGAAGTATGTGCAGAATATAATTCTTTCAATTATTTTACCATCCTGTATTGATGAGCAGATCGAGGAATATTTTTATGAACTTTTGTGAATCCACAATTTTCCTCATTCTTTACTATATGTGACACTTCTGTTATTTTACTAACAAATCTTTAAGTCACTTGTCAGCGAAAATTTATCAGAATAAAATTCCGAGGTTACCATATTTTTTATTCTGTGTTCCAAGTTACCAGTGACTTTTTATTCCTATGTTTTTCAGTTAAAAAAAAAAAGCTGAAATCTTATTTGCAAACAAATGTATGTAATAAGTATCAGAAAAGGGGTTTTCACACATTTTGTGCATGAACAACTAGTTCTACCTTGTTGGTGAGCAGTTGCTGTTTACTTTGCATGGCCTTATAAAAAAGATATCTAAAAATATATCCCCCAAAGATAAAAAAATAATACACCCCCCCAAATCAGTGTATGTTAAGGTGAAAGTTGATTGTCCAGGATTTAAAATTGGCAGTTCTTTATAAAAAGTATACACAGCCAAAACTTTGTATACAGTGGTACCTTCACAGAGTTAGTTTATTTTTTATTTGTAGGAGCACCTGACAAGAAAGGAGATGTGGGAGTTGGAGCTGATCCCAAAATGGAATTTGTAAGTTTATTTAAACTTGTTTATTTGGTTGTCCATAAAATATGCAAATGATCTTGTTTTCAAACATGCATTTTATAACACAAAAAAATATATCAAACATTAGAATAGATTGTTCAAAAACTAATTAGTTCAACTATCTTTCTATTATACTCTAAATAGGTAAAAAAATTCTCTTACTTCTCGGAGCAGTGGTTTTACTCAACAAATTTCAAAATTTCTTTTCGGATTACTGGCTTTGAGTAACAATACAAAATAAACATGTCCAATAGCAATGTCTAAGGTAACGATAGACATGTCTTGAATGATAGGGAAGTTGGTTGTGTTGTGGGTTTCACAAAAATATATTAGAGAAGCAAGATGATTGATATTTATATACTGGATTGTCAGTATCTTTAGTATGTGTATCTAATTCATTGGACACACAACCTACATTAAGCAGCAACCAAGTACAAAGGTTGTAACTAGAAGAGATAATTGCTTGCTTTACTTTATTTACTGTTCTATGTTTTAAGAAAAATAAGTGTAAGAACTTGTTTCTAAATAGCAATAATCTATATACATATATAATGTATAATAATTAAATGTGACTGTATTTTATAAATACTGGTCAACTAAAACACAGCCAAGACAGGTCACTTTGTAAAGACTAAAGGTCAGTTTTATATTATTGGATACGATAACATGAGAGCATGAGTGCTGTGTCATTGTAACTTCCGTATTGTTAGCCAGGCATGGCTGAAAGGTCATTATAATAAATGTATAATGTTATGAGATTTAAACTATTTAGTCTACACATTTATGTGTTTGTGTTATAATTTGTAGTCATTCTAGAATGAAAGATGCATAATTTATATTTATTTCCTAATATTTTATGGTGGTTACAAGATTGGTCAAATCTACTGAACCTGTACATAGATTCATTGGTGAAAATAACAGAT